ACTGTTCACCTTGACTACTTTCAGTACCACTTCCTACGTCGTGGACCTGTTTCCCTCTCTTCTCATAGCATTTTATTATTGCAGATACATTAATCTAACTGTCACAAAGGGTTGCCACACTCCGGACTCCTCGCCTCGACTACTCCCTTCACCACTTCCTACGTCGTGGACCTGTTTCCCTCCCTTCCCATAGCATTTTTAGAATTGCAGATACTGTACATTATTCTAATTATCACAAAAGGTTTCTACACTCCGGAATGCTCGCCTCGACTATTTCCTTCACCACTTCCTACGTCGTAGACCTGTTTCCCTCCCTTCCTATAGGATTTTAGAATTTCAAATAGATTAATTTAACTTTCACAAAGGGTTCCCACACTCCGGACTGTTCACCTTGACTACATCCTTCACCACGTCCTACGTCGTGGACCTGTTTCCCTCCCTTCCTAGAGCATTTTAGAATTTCAAATAGATTAATTTAACTTTCACAAAGGGTTCCCACACTCCGGACTGCTCACCTTGACTAATTCCTTCACCGCTTCCTACGTCGTGGACCTGTTTCCCTCCCTTCCCATAGAATTTTAGAATTGCAGTTACATTAATCTAACTATCACAAAGGGTTTTTACACTCCAGAATGCTCGCCTCGACTACTTCCATTACCACTTCCTACCTCGTGGACCTGTTTCCTTCCCTTCCTATAGCATTTTAGTATTGCAGGTATATTAATCTAACTGTCAAAAGGGTTTCTACACTCCAGACTGCTCGCCTCGACTACTTCCATTACCACTTCCTACGTCGTGGACCTGTTTCCTTCCCTTCCTATTGGAATTTAAAATTGCATTAATATTAATCTAACTGCCACAAAGGGTTCCCACACTCCGGAATGCTCGCCTTGACTACTTCCTTCACCACTTCCTAAGTGTCGTGAACCTGTTTCCCTCCTTTCCTATATTATTTTAATATTGCAGTTACATTAATCTAACTGTCACATAGAGTTCCCACACTCCGGACTGCTCGCCTTGACTACTTCCATCACGGCTTCCTACGTCGTAAACCTGTTTTTCTCCCTTCCCATAGCATTTCAATATTGCAGGTACATTAATCTAACTGTCACAAAGGGTTTCTACACTCCGGACTGCTCGCCTTGACTACTTCCATTACCACTTCCTACGTCGTGGACCTGTTTCCCTCCCTTCCTATAGCATTTTAGTATTGCAGGTATATTAATCTAACTGTCACAAAGGGTTTCTACACTCCGGACTGCTCGCCTTGACTACTTCCTTTACCGCTTCCTACGTCGTGGACCTGTTTCCCTCCCTTCCTATAGCATTTCATTATGGCAGATACATTAATCTAACTGCCACAAAGAGTTCCCACACTCCGGAATGCTCGCCTTGACTACTTCCATCACCGCTTCCTTCGTCGTGGACCTGTTCCTCTCCCTTCCCATAGCATTTTCGAATTGCAGTTACACTAATCTAACTGTCACAAAGGGTTTCTACACTCCAGAATGCTCACCTCGACTACTTCCATTACCACTTCCTACGTCGTGGACCTGTTTCCCTCCCTTCCTATAGCATTTTAGTATTGCAGGTATATTAATATAACTGTCACAAAGGGTTTCTACACTCCGGACTGCTCGCCTTGACTACTTCCATCACCGCTTCCGACGTCGTGGACCTGTTTCCTTCCCTTCCTATTGGAATTTAAAATTGCATTAATATTAATCTAACTGCCACAAAGGGTTCCCACACTACGGAATGCTCGCCTTGACTACTTCCTTCACCACTTCCTAAGTGTCGTGAACCTGTTTCCCTCCCTTCCCATAGCATTTTTAGAATTGCAGATACATTATTCTAATTGTCACAAAGGCTTCCCACACTCCGGACTGCTCACTTTGACTACTTCCTTCACCACTTCCTACATCGTGGACCTGTTTCTCTCCCTTCCCATAGCATTTTTAGAATTGCAGATACATTATTCTAACTGTCATAAAGGCCCCCCACACTCCGCAGCGCTCGCCTTGACTACTTCCTTCACTATTTCCTTCACTACTTCCTACATCGTAGACCTGTTTCCCTATCTTTCCATAGCATTTAAGTGTTACTGATACGTTAATTTAACAGTCATAAAGGGTTTCCGTACTCCTTTCTTTTCACTGCTCACCTTTCCGCTTTCTTTACTACTCTCTACGTCGGGGACCTGTCCCCCCCCCCCCCTCGCATAGCATTTTAGTATAAAAATATACCAACATTTTTGAATATTTAATATTCAATGCCAACATTAAATTGAATAATGTAAAAAGCTGCTTTGTTCTAAATACATACATACCTATATACTTTTAATTAAAAGGCGAAATTTTAATACTGAACATAAACGGTATATAACTGCCGACTAATATTGTTAAGTTCAATTTATTATTATGAAAGTTGTGAAATTGAATTAGCTTAAATAACATTATTCTGAAAGCTGTGAAATTATAATGATATATATTCATAGACGACAAACTGTTTACTCCATGAATGAAAGAGCTTAGAGTAAAAGTCGTTCTCTCTGTCTTAAGTAGACAACAAAATTTTTGGTCGCAAAACGTAAACAAATAAAAAGAAGAAGAAGGTAGCACCTAATGTTATTCTTATGGGACAAATTTAAAAATGTTTTTTAAGTATTTTATAATTACTACTGAGCGGAATCGTCTAGAATTTTAATGGTGTCTTTACACTGGTGTCATAACTATTTGTGCAAAATTTGAACGCTATAAGTGCAACGGTTCTTGAGTTTTAGGTGCGAACACACACACACACACACACACATACTCCAGCGGACAACTTTTCTCCGACTCCGCTATACACGATACATAGATTCGTTCACTTCGTTCACTCATCTATAAATCGATAAGAATTTAAGAAGTGTGTGAAATTGAGTAGATAATTCAAACAGATTAACAGTCTCAGCACTTAAAATATCATAATCTTGGATAACAATGTCTTCCTTTCTGTGATGATTTAGTTACAGGATATAAACCAAGTTTACTGTATTCAGCAGTTGCCAATTTCAATACAAAATAAATTAAATACGTTAATCCAAATTGAGATATGTGAAAGTTCAAGTTAACTTTAACTTTTATTTAAGGCCTAACGTTTTTAATTTTTTGTTTAAACTAATTTACGTTAATCCTATCGATTATACAATTTAGTGAAATTTAAAATGATAAAGAAAAGTAGCAGTTGATCTTTTTAAAAATAAATATGCGTGAAAGAAATGCGATGAATAATTAGGAGTTTTTTTTAGCACAAAAATAACTGAATGAATAATGTTTTACATAAATTATTGTCAAGCAAAAAGGCAGGCCCCGTCTTTTGGGGATACAAACTCTGTTGTAGAATCTAACGGTCTATTGGTTATGATGTTTTATTTCATTTAATTAAATCAATTCAATTAATTAGTTCATTTCATTCATTCATTCATTCAATTGTTTTGTTATTGAAATATCTGGGCAATCTCCAACCAAGCAAAAATGAATTTTGGGGCTACTAATGAAAAATTAGTAATAAGCCAAAATAAATGTATAAGTTTAAAGCTATAACTTTGTATCCAGAACTCCAAACAAAGACTTCAAATGTACTTAGTCCAACCAGCGGCATTTCAAAACGAGTTAATTTATTTTTGCATTATGACAAAACTCCGGACCTAGCATAAAATTGGGAAGAAGTCCACATTCTCAACTCAACACTTAAAAATTGAACACAGAAACTACATTCTGAATTGAAAGAAATAGGACCATGTAGGCATGTGTGAGGGTACAAACTTATTTCTCATAAGCTTTAATACTCTCACGAAACTATAAACAAAATCACAGACTGAGAACACCCCTTATAATCGCAATACAAAGAATGAAGCTTATGGAAAATTTTGAATCTGGTTTGGGTGTAAGGAAAGTTAAATATACAGTCTTCATTATTCTTTATTGTTTATGGAAAGACAAGAGGTTTTTCGAGAGTTGATAGAGATAAAAACGGATTTGAGTATTTGTTTATTTACTAACTAGCTGTACCCGCGGGCTTTGCCCCGTTTAACTTCATAAGTGAGCTCGTTCGCATGGCTCAATCACGTTCTGGTTGAAGTTCGTTCGCTACGCTCACTCAACTTTTGGTTACTAATTATCTGTTGTCATAAATTTAAAAAAAATAATAGTGCTGCACCTTGTTTGTAGGCCTAATCCTTGTAACTTTATTGCTATTGCACATAATAGAACAGAACCAACTTGTTTAATTGAAACAGCTGTTAAGATGCATTAATTCCATTTAAATATGAGTACTCATAAGGTTAACATGGGGAACTCCAGAGCCACTGGGGCGGAGCCCTTTTGACGGATCTGCACCAAACTTCACAAAAACCATCCTTGAATAATGCTTAATAATCTCTGAAAGTTTAATTAAAATCTGTCAAGCGGGTTCGGAGTCCATAAAGGACAAACAAACAAACAAACAAACATACATACATACATTGGATTTTATAGATTAATCAGTAGTTCTTTTATTTTAGTTTTTTTTTCTTTTTGCCTTTTATAAATAATATTATAAACAGCTGATTTTCGTAAAACAACTAATAATGTTGCGAAAATAAACATTCCTTGTGGGTTCTTCTTGTTAAAATTGCTTATTAATTTTCTCTCTTAGGCTAATTTTTCATTTCACACAAACACTCTACAGTACAACTATGAAGTATTCCATGTATTTAAATACTATAAGTACAAATTCTACAAAATCTTAGAAAAAGGTGTGATTTTACTTAGAAATGTGGAAATAATGTCAGTTTTTACGAGTGACACTACCAGCGCCCCCGGCCAGCCCCGCCCTCCTCTGTGATTGGTCCAGGCGACTCCCAGCAGCGCAGCCGTCACACTCGCTCCCTGCCATTCTCGTCTCTCGCACTGTTTGTATATGGTATGAGCCCGCATCAACTGCTTTCTGTATACACTATAAAGTGAGGTGACTCTAAGTAATCCGGAGTGTGTTTAAACAAGACCTGACCGCACCGAAACAGATATTTTTTAAACGTAAATGTTTATCGAATCCGTGTTTTTGCCGGGATAGAATGTGTACGATAATGATGAAGAGTGAGAACGTAGAGGCGGGATCGCAGTTGGTGTCGGCGACGCATCACGGACACCACGGTATCGGACATGTGGCGGATACGACCACGACCACGTCCACGGGCGCGGGTGCGACCACGGCGGCGACCACGGCCACGGCGACGTCCACGACCACCAAGAAGAGCAACGCGGGTTTGAGACGACAGGAGAAGCCGCCGTACTCGTACATAGCGCTCATATACATGGCGATAGAGAGCTCACCGTCAAAGAGACTTACATTAAACGAAATCTACACATTCTTACAACAACACTTCGCCTTCTTCCGCGGCGCTTACCAGGGCTGGAAGAACTCCGTCAGGCACAACTTGTCTCTCAACCAATGCTTCGTCAAGCTGCCCAAGGGTCTCGGACGTCCGGGGAAGGGTCACTACTGGACCATTGACCCCGCGTTCAAGCTGATGTTCGAGGATGGGTCGTACCGACGTCGCGCCCGTGGGTCCTGCGGGAAGTTGGGCCTCAAGTCGCGGCGACCTGCGCTGCCGTCTCCTGCACCTGGACACTACTACAACACTTCCGCACCTCAGTACCACGACCCTCCGCAGACCCAGGACTACTCCTACATGAACCAGCAACACCACCCTTCGCCAGCCTACACCGAGTATCCTGCATACCCTAGCTGTGACTCCTGGAGCTCCTACCCCAGCCAGTGCCTCCAGGATACCTTCGCTTACATCAAGACGTCCCCTGACCACCAGATGGAAGCGGAATACCCTCAGTTCAATGGTCAAACGGCGATGACCGATACAACGGGTGAGTTGATCCGTTGATCCCTTGTATGTCTAAGCAGCTATAGTTCAAAGAGGTTCGGTTTAGCAACGCAAAGTCATGTCGTATTCAATTAATTGATCAAGACTACATTTGCAATATTGATCACGTTTTGTCTTAAAACATGTGTTTATTACTATGATCTGCCTTTGGCAAATCAATTAATCATTTCAATCAATTGATGTTTCTACGATTATTTATAGGTTAGGCATAACCAACAATGTTAAACCATGTTGTCGTATCAAAAATATAAACAATAATAACAACAACAGATGTTCTACGGGTGTTTACAGCCAGTGTTGCCAACTTGTATAATACAGTACTCGACCTGCTTTGTATGACGCAATGATATGACGTGCTTATTATTTCGGAATGTGGTAAAGTATGTTCATATTTTTAAAACAAGAAGCGACGATAGGCTAAATCTTTGAAAATTAATTTAGGCTATTTGTAAAGTGATTATGTGTTTATAATTGTAACATTTTAAGGTTATATCAAGATAAACAAACTATTATATTCATTTTACAGACAACAGTTGCATTGGAAAATATACGATCCTACTCTTATAAAATCATTTGGACGAAATAGAAACACATAAGACTAATGAATAATCAACTAATGAATAAGCTGTGATTAAATTATTGTCTTAACATTCTAAAGTGATTATTTTTTTAAATAATTAACTAGCCGATTCGGTATTTAAATATTCAATCTTTTAGTACAATTAGTTATTAATACAGTCAATAATTATTTTGAAACGGTAATACGGTTTTTGGGTAGGTGATTTAAAATACACTACTAGAACATTAGTGATGATTTATGGGTTTTGAAAATCTCTTAGCGTAGGCCTACAGACGAACTTTACGGACGGATTTCAAATTAGTGACCAGAAGTAAAACTCTTGAGATAAACTTTTATAGAACACAGTTTTGACCCATAAATGACCATGGATAGGCTAGCTTATTGCATTGCGACTAATTCTGCAATGTATCAGATAATGTAACTGCCAAACAGGCTAATATTTGATAAGCCTGAAAAGCAGAGTCGAGTTTGTTTTATAAAATACAGTTAATACCCCGAATGTATTGAAACAAACATACAAATAAATATAAATATAAACAAATAAATATACATATAAACAAATTAAACATAGGCCTACCATTATAAAATAAAAGGACTACATTATTAATTGATTCTTAGTACCAGAGTACCATGAGACCAAGATTTGCTCGGATTTGATTAAACATTTAAGTAATTGATCAGAAATTAAGGATATTTATTATGTACGGTTATCAATGTAAAAAAAATAAGATAATACAAAGAAGACATATTAATACACTTATAAAGTCATAGATTGCAATAAAAATTACCTGTATTAACTGTTTTTATTAACTGCAGCTACAAAAATGTATTGACGATAACACGAACACTTTCAAGGGCTGTAGGGCGGAAACTGGATTTTCCCAGCCTTGTGACCAACTCCAATCGATTTCTCGTGACCAAATATCCCACAATAAACAACAATATTAAAAATCCTTGGACGAAAATAAAAGTTAGTCCGTACACGCACTTGTTTTATACTTAGGACAAACCTTCAAATAAAACAAACGGTCACTAATTAATCAACGCTAATATACAAAACTCTTAAGCCATTGAAGAGTTGGATGATAAATAAAGAGATCTCATGACGAAGAAAACATATGATTACACTACGAACAAAGACAGTTAAATAGTGGAACATGAAAGAGTAAAATCAGCTGTTTTGAAAAAAAACTGCCTCTATTTAGGTAGCTGTGGGAAAATAAATTGCTTACGTATCAGCCATAAATTATATTAAATGGCGAACGTGAAGTTTGCACTCATGTTTTGGCCTGTGACAGCCAGCACGTCGCCACGCAGTCTGGTGCTGATTCGCTGACGATGACTCAGCAAACAGCTGGTCTTACATGTGCGGAGGTTTATCATAAAGCCTCGCTGACCACCCAGAACTGTTCCTTGTGCCCAAACACCGAGTGAATTATTAGACGTGTTAGTGTAAACAAAGACATTGGACTTGGAGATAAGCAACGCGGCTCATATATTTGATATAAGGTCCTTTCGATATGGTCAGTAAAAATTGTGATTTCAATGAGATCCAAATATCTTTATTTTTTTTCAAAGTATGTACAGTTGTCAATTAAAAGGGTATACACAATTGACAGTTAATGTGTAATAAAAAAATATAATAATAAACTATATGTGAATGAATCTAATTTTTCGTGTTGAGTTACATTTACAATCTATAAGACGTACTTAATGGATGGAAAATAACTACTATGTTAATGCCATGTTTAAAAATAAACAAATTAAAAATAGATTAAATATATTTGTATTAATAATTATTCTCAAAAAATCAAGTAACCGTTTTTAAACAAATTTAAATAAGATATGTTTTAACCAGGCTTCAACCCGGGATTTTTTTCACATTACGTCAGACTAGGCCTAGAGGTTGCCAAATTATAACTTAGATAAAATTGATTGGTGATTTGCAGGATTTGAACCCGTGACCTCGAAAACAGAAATCCTGCGCTTTACCATTAGACCAGGTTGCTCCCAAAATACTGAATGTGATGTATAGTTACAGTGACAAAAAAGCAACACACGAGAACAAAAGAGCTAGGAAATAATACAAAGATAAGCAAATAATTTCCCACTTGTATAACTATTCAAAAGTATTGTTTAATTAACTATTGATGCTGTAAAACAAACAAGTTACACACCAAAATGACAATACAGAACTAACCCCAGCCTCTTCACTTTCCTCATGATGTCCATACACCCACTGTAAAATGTAAATCTCATTCATAGTTTCCCTAAAACCGAACGCTAGTAAAAAATCGGATCCTCGTGTTTTTGGTCGACTAGGAACCAGGAACACATGCCGCATCAGTATGATAGCGGGTCGGTTTTCTGCCATAACTATTAGTGGGTGTCAGTCTAGGGGTTGGAAAGGATGCAGACACCAAAACTGACCCTTGTCGGTCACCACCCAGCGCGTCTGTCTGTCACACGTGTCAATTCGTCTCTGCCCCGCGGTCTATCCTCTTCACGATTCTTTATCACTTTCTTTTTCAAAGTAAGTTTACGGTCGTAACTTATCTAGAGGGTTTTAAGGGTGGTTGTTTATAGCCTAAAGAAGACAGTTTGGTGTTCTTTGACTATTTTAGAGCAACACGTGAAGCAATAGTGTATGTTGAGAACGTGGATATTTTGACAAATTATTTTTAGCGGAAAATTTGTGTTTTACGTCATTATTAAACTTTAAGGGTGGTAAAAATCTGGTATTGTTACTATATAACGTCGACCGTCAGTCGCTCTGTCGGCGTCCGTCAGTAAATTTTAGATTTCTTTCAACCGAAATTTTTGGATTGTTCGGACGCCTGACGGACGTGTAGGCCTTTAAAGTTAGAAAATACTGTTTTGTTATTTAAATGGTCATGTTTGTATTTTGATTATTGAGTACTTTGTTTAGTAATCAACAAGATAGATGATGAAAATTTTATAGTGTATAGAATATAGGATTTTAATTTTAAAATGTTGAATGTAACATCGGTGTAAATATTATAGATGGAAGACTGACTGAAACCAACTGTCGGAAAGTTGACTGAAGAATTGCGGATGCAACTAAGACTAAACTGTGACTGGACTGATATGTGTGAATCGACCTTTATATTCAATACGAACCCTGTCACCACTTGGCTAACCAGAAAAATACCGAAGCAATAAAGTTTGTTTCTCTATCAAAATATGAAGTGGCTTGTACATTCATCCAGAAAATATTGAGAGATGATGTATTGAGCCATTAATAGGATATGTGAATTTGTTAGAATATATGTGATAGTGACACAAAATTAAAACAGGATTTTAATACAGGGTGGAGCACAGTTAATTTCTTAGTTTTCAGAATTCACACGGTAGAGGTGATGTTTGTTTTGGAGCAGTCGTTTGCACAGTTTCACTTCAAACGAAGAGCCCCACTAACTTCAATACCATTGACCCCTTCCAACAAACCCAATTCAGAAAATAACCTAAATCAAAATAATAACTTTGGCCATTTCTGTTCCAGGTCTGAGGTTTACCATGCCGCTGGACAGGAAGCCCTACCTCAACTCGCCTTCGCCCTCCAACATGGCGTTTGCCCCCCTGGCTCTGACGGAGTCTCCGGGTGCCTATGGAGGGTACGGGGCCCCCGCCCCACAGGCGCAGCCCCCCTCGCTTTATGAATGCTGCAACAGCAGCGTTAAGGTATAGATTGAAAGGATAAGCTTCATTATGTGTGATAAATATATTTCCCAATTCCAAATACGAGGGTTTTTATTTTTTTTAGCTAGAATAACAAACGGGTAGGACTTTTGGGTAAATTTGTCATAAACGTAATTTTTCTGTTTAATAAAATACTAAAATTATAATTTAGACATTATTTTATTGATTAATATATTAAATCAACAACCGAATCTAATTGAATATAAATATTCAAAGAGCCCTCCTAAGCCAATAACGATAAATTCAGTACCAGTTGACAATTGGTGACAATAACACTTCAAACAAAATTAGAGGAATCCTAAACAAAGTTTTAAATGGGATTAAAAGTTCATCAGATTTCATTTATGGTAATAATAAATAGTTAGGAAATGTAATTTGTTACTACAAATGTTAATGAAGCATATTGAAAACTAGTTACACTTTACTTGATTATTATAACAAATCCTTTACCGAACAAAACTAGTTGCCAAAGAGTTTAGTTTGCAATATATTTTTGTGGAATTCAGTTACATAAAGGTTATTTTAGTTTATTGTACATAGTATATTACTAGTGTTAAGGTAAAATAAATTAACTACATTAAATTAGTTCATAAGTTGCGACACTTTTGCCAAAAACAAAAAATAAATGTAATATATTTACCATGATACAATTTTAAAATATTGTCGTATTAATAATTTGATTAATTCGTACTGTAAGTATTGTATAATATGTGGGGTTTATTTGATTGTTTATGATATTTTGTTTATAATAATGAATTGTGTTCAGGTACTACATTCTTAAATATTTACAATAGGATAATTAGTTTACTTGCAGTAGATAGATTCAATGGCAATACTTCACTTGCCTTTTACCTTACTACAATTAATTATATTTGACAAATTATGGAATTAAAATTAAAATATTTTTAATCTTTACACACAAACTTGAATGTAACATTGTATCTTTTGTATAGTATATTTTTGAAAATAAAAAAATGTAATAAAACTATTAATGCAAGGTGTTTTAGTGGCCTTTACTTTTTGAGAAGTAATTTTGATAAAGGAACATATTTACATTCTATATTTACCTCCTTGCTCACCCGAAGACGGGATCAGATTCCATTTTAAAATGGCCTCCATAATCCTCAAAAACCATGATAATTAATATATATACATTCGACAAAAACACAGTCAAATTTATACTATTTGATTATCTTATTACTAATGAGGTGTCATTCAATAGTTCGATCTAGCTAAAGTAACTAAAACAAAATTAGAGAGCAGATTTTACAAAGATTAACCTTGTAAAGATATTTTGACGCTTTATTTTAATCCTTTTGAATCCCTACGGTGGGACTTGTATGGTAATTATTTTGAAGTATATATTATTTGGTTCCCTTGGATAAAAAATATTTTGAGCTGCCAGCCCGCAGTTTAGCATCTCTGTCCTTTAATGGCGTCTTGTGATCTCCATTATTATACTAATGAACTAAATTTAAAAACACGTTTTTAAAAACATCTATTTTACAAATACGGTTAATTTTACGGTATTTACTCACGGGAGGTATAGAAGAGGCTACGATGACAGCTGAGGGCTTCTTATTAGCTGAGGGAACGCCATTACCGTAACAAAACGATCTATAGCCATCGGCTTCGGTGGTCTAGTGGTTAGCGTGCCGGGCTGAAATACTGTAGGTCCCGGGTTCGAATTTCGCCAATGGCATTAACTTTTTGTCCAAGATTTTTTTTTATTTTCAGCAAGTTTGGTTGGTTTGGTTTGGTTATTACAGTTTAATTTTATTATTAAGTCATTATACAATTTTAATTGAGCAATTTCTAGTTTTATTTTATAAACAGAATTATTTTTCCGATTACTATAAACTTTTGTTATATTATTTCTTTATCAGCAAGTTTGGTTAGTTCGGTTAGGTTATGATAGTTTAATTTTATAATTAAAAATTAATAAAATTGAATTTTAGGCATTTATAATTTTATTTTATGAACAGAACTATTTTTGCGATTAGTAAACCTTCATTGCCAAAGTGCTTTTTACTACAGCGCTGTTCACGGAGGAATTTTGAACTAAATGCCTCATTTGTACCTCCCCTAAGTCAGACCCGACATTACTCAGCTACACTTTTGATTGCAACAAATCAAATAGGATGTTTTGCAATGGTAATTGATGTGTCTGACACTATATGATCACACCACCATCGAAAATACGTAGTTTCATACAAAAAGATAATTAGCTATCAGTTAATTAGATATCAGCTGTTTACTTACAGCTGTTGTAAGTTTTGGAGTCATTTGTAACAGTTATACATAATCTTTAAGCAAGAGTCGAGGTCCTCTTAGTGCTCAATAATATATACTAGTGGTCGTCCTGTGGTCGAAACTCGACCAAAAATAATTAATGTACAGACTACTATATTTTCTCCCCACACTGTAAATAAAACATGTGATTGGGATTTCCTCCAATTGTTTTGATTTTCTGTTTACATTTTGTTGTTATTTCGTCACCATCATGGCAACCCAGTTGGTCCATGTTAATTTTTTAAAGTTTTCAAATTCGTTTTTTGTGCTTATTTTTTAGCCTATTTTAATTTATAAAGGGATTCTGCACATCTACAGGCAAATATCTTTCTAACAGTATGCGTAGATTTTCCCTGCGATGCACACGAGCTGAGAAAAAAGGTTTTAAAGAAACATGCTTGCCTATTAATATATAGATAGATGTATAAAATGTAATACAGCAAATATGAATTTACTCTGATTTGTTTTAAGATCGATTATTTAACAGAACATTGATAAATCGATTGGATAAATTGATTTTAGAATAGTCTAACCTAACCTACAAACTAAAAACAGCGTTTGGTGAATAAGTTGCGCCTTGCTTTTGTAAACGCAATTTAGATACTGAGTTCAAATTGCATCTCCGATTTTTAAGGCGATGATAAATATCTGTCGCGGCATCAACTTTGCCAAACTGGGGCAAAGGTTGAGGTATAATATAAGGATTTAAGTATTTGATTTTTACCGTATATTTTTGGATTTTAGGTTAGGAAAACACTGTAACTTACAGCTTTGATTAAAAAGTAAAAAAAAAAAACAACTTTTAAATATAGTGTCACACACTTTGGTGCGTATTTTAAACTGAATAAGAATGCAAGGGAGTGTAGAATGGAGTGAGATATTGCTTTACTACTGACTAAGATCAGCTGTTTTTTTTAGATACAACCATTTATTTTATGATAAAATTAAGAACAGCTGATTCAAGGGGGGTTTCAAAAGCCTGTAGCCTAGTTTTGAAACTAAATTGGACCTATTATGCGCTCCAAAGAAGCGACCTAATTTTTGACTATTTTTTTATAATATTATTAATCTAATTGTTGTTCTATAATTTGTTTGCACCTGTAGAAAAACATATAGGCTCTTGCTATTAAAACTCAAAACATTAATAAGCTAATAATGGATAAATGATTGGAAATCGTATTAGTTTTGAACCGAACTAACCTATAATATTATATAACAAGAGGTGTCTCTCTTTCCATAACGCAAAAACCTCTGGAAAAAAATCAACGTACCCAAAATGATAACCTAATTACGATTCTATATAGATCTGAAATAGAATATAGATCTGAAATAGAATATAGATCTGAAATAGAAATACTGATTGTTCTCTTATAACAATAACAATAAAATCAACATGTTAACATGATTCACTTCATTTAAGCATTTAAAAAGTGTTCATTCTGCAAAACCATTGACTGTATTAAAACTCAGAGGATTGTGTGAAAATAATTGGTACAATTAATATTATTCCTTTAAACAATCGCAGTAAAATGAAGTTACTTTAAAGAAGCAGATTTATCCGATGCGAAGCACTGTCATTGGGCAAATAAAATATTATACATCGAAACGAATTAAAATACTCGTAAACAAACCTCTATAATATTCTTGCACAAAATCATTATTTGTAAACACCTATTAAAATTTCATAAAAAATATTTCTAGCGAAGCACTCTCCAATGGTTTGCTATAGGTCAAAAGTTAACCCATTGATCTGTGGTATTTGCGAACAGCTGTATCAACGTGCATAGACAGGTTTACTTTCTGTAGTTTTCACATATCAATCAGTGTTACCAACTGACTTCTCTTTGAAGCGCAAGTTTAACGTGTAACACAGAGATGTTACAGACCAGTTCCACGAAGCAGGGAGGGACGAGAATAGCAGACGATATTACCCACCCGGTGAATGTTGATGTTAAACGGAGGTCGAATTTTGGTCCGGTTGGGAGATCGGTTGTTGATTAATCCATCTTGTAAGATACAATGAAAGATCCAAAACATGTAAATCGCATCCACACATTCTTTGTCATAGTAAGGGAGCCGGAAGACCGAATCATGATGTTGTATGGAATACAGATTTTTGAAATTAATTATACTCAATTGTTTTTGTTGAGGTGGTTAAACAAATCTAAAACAGGCATACACATGGTTTACAAATGACATTAGTTCACTTACGAATGATATACGTCTACTAAGTAATCACTGTATCTGTAAGATACTACTGTAAGCTAAGCTACTGTTTACGTACAGCGTAGCACTGAAACTGAATGTAGGAACCATTTTACTTTAGGCCCTACTCTAGTTTCTTTTCAATTACCTGTTTCTTTCTCTTATTATTTAACATGTCCATACTGTAGTTATGAACCAATGTCATTTTACTAAAAACCCAAGGTAGCATTTAAAATTTAAAATCCATTTTGTATTTATCTGTAATATCCGTAACATATTCTTATATTGAACCTTTTTAGAGCAATACGTCGGCTTAGGACCGGTTGGAAATGAGGAGAAAGTATTCAAGGTACAGTAAACCCTTATCATGATACCATAAAGATATTTACTTTGTTTCACCCGTGCAGTCATTAAATAACAAAATTAAGATTTCACCAAGGTTTTTCTTAATTAGGAAGCACTTCCTTATAAAGCGTACCGAATCGCTCCCTGAATAGCGTGGTCATTTTGTATACTAAATTATTTAATTGATTGAGGAAGAAACTCAGTTCGTTTGGATTACTGAGGGATGAAATGGTTTGAAGTAACATCTCGTATATACATTGTTTTTACTATGAACTCCAACATTGCCGTTTTAACTCTGCAAGCCACATCTGCCATCTGGCTTCGCCACTCTTGAGCGTGATAAACTGGGCGATGGAAACACTTTAACACGGTTATCACCACTAGACAAGATCGAAGACCCGTCAATGGGAGGTGTGAAGAAGCGAGGGGGTGATGGGAGGGGGGAGGGGGTGTCGAGAGGCGCGAAACACGGGCGACGGAGAAGATAAGCAGACGACGTCAAGGGTCATGTTCACACCTAGAGTCTGTCTTGTGTCTTGACCTCAGTCTGGTTGTGTTTTTGCCACCAGACAAATGTCTGAGCTACTGTAGAAGACAGCCAGCGAGTCTAGGTCGCAAAACGAGAGGGTGCCGAGTGGTTAGCAGTAGAATTTCGATGCGATAGGAGTGGGTTCCCCGGGTTATGTGCAGAAGTTTGAGAGTTTAGGCTTTCCATTGACAGCGTTATCAGAGTTATCACTGGCGTAAGAAAACCTTTGAAACATTTGTGGTCAATTACTGATTTCTGTCGAGTACCGAGTTTGTAGACAAGCTAAACTTAAAAGACAATTGACTGTTAGCTTTTCACCGACTTTGTAACCAAGTCTAACAGGACAAATAGCACATTTTAGTTTCATTTACGTTGCATAACTCATACAATTATTAAATACCCCCGCCGCAGCAAACCTGCAGACTAAGCGAATTTCCATTTGACTGATTGGATTTACACTGAAATGTCTACTTAAAAATATAACATATATTCCCGATTTAAATAGAATTAGTTTAACAAGTAGGCTACTTAGGTTTGCTGCATCAGGGAGGGTAAAATTTTTTTTTTTTTTTTTGTAAAATGTTAATAGTTAGTGTTTAGTATCATGATTGTTAATTGTTTTATTTATGTTCTTAGTGTAAGTAATATTGTAAGCAAATAGTTAACCAATTCATATCACATGTGTTGTTAAATTCTAACGTACTTCCTGCTATTCATGTCACTTGTCGGCGTTAAACAGTCATAAACATCGTCCTTCTGCGAAAGGACGGACCCTTCCTCACCAGTTCTTAGAAATCTGTAACCACATACTGAGTGAGGGAGGAGTCTTTTGTCAGGGTGTTATCGAGCGACATTGTTCGTTTACCATAGCTTGGGATAGGACGTGTGAGGCAGATCCCTCCACGTATTTCATTAGTTTAGTTCATCAATAGTACATTCGCATTAGTTCATTATAGCAATTTATTCATCACAGTTCATTTATACAGTCCACTAATATCAGTTGTTCATTTCCATATCAATAAATTCATAGTTCGTTTTTAAAGTGTCAGTTCTTTTTTTGTTACCAAAACATTGGCGCATCACGCGCCGCAACATGGTCCATCGAGCCGCGATTATGTATCAGTGATCGCGTGGAACAATCGTACCGTACACATTATAGTTTCGTAGTCGGAACGTGTCGAGCCGTCTCCGTCGCGACTTCAGTGAACAGTTCGTCTTCAAGTGACTCAGTGACCAGTGACTTAGTGTCCAGGGATTTAGTGTCCAGTGATTGGATTAACTCAGCTGCAGCACCGTAAGTCATTATCAACCTCATCACGTTCTGCTTCAAACAGCATTCATCTCTTTACAAGCCTATTTGCACACAAAGAATATGACAGAACAGCAGTTAAAAACATTATGCCAAAAGCGAGGACAGACCAAAGCCAAGCTTACTAGATTTAAAAAGTATGTAGATGCAATAGTAGATAATGACTTGTCCCAGTTAAAAAGTAGACTAGCCCTATTTCAACCTCTTGTACAAGAATTTGAACAGATACAAGGAGACATAGAACTTCTTGATTCTGAATCAGATCACGAAGCTGAAAGGGAATCGTTTGAAAACACTTATTTTGAATTGATTGCCCAAGCAGAAGCTCTCCTCACTGACAACCAACCAATTTCAACCCCATCTAGCTCGGTAGTTTCTAATAATTCATCAATTAGTGTAAAGTTGCCTACTATAAAACTCCCTACATTTGGTGGAAAATACGAGGAGTGGACATCGTTCCAAGAAATATTTCATTCTCTCGTCCATGACAACACGTCACTAACAGACACACAAAAGTTTCATTACCTCAAAACATCACTTCACGGTCCAGCTATCAGCGTCATAGAATCCTTAGAAGTTACCTCAGTAAACTACACGACTGCTTGGTCCCTACTTAAGGAAAGGTTTGAAAATAAAAGAATCCTCATCAACAATCACATAGCTTCTCTATACAACATCAACAAAATTGAAAGGGAATCTGGATTAGAGTTAAGATCATTAATAGATTCTGTAAACAAGCATTTACGTGCTCTAGAAAACCTAGGTCATCCAGTGCAAAGTTGGGATACTTTATTGATATTTACATTGACCAAGAAGCTTGACCACCCTACACTTAGACTTTGGGAGAGCCACATTGTATCGTCAGATGTACCAACATTCTCAAATTTCATAACATTCCTAAAATCTAGATGTCAAACATTAGAAGCAATCGACTTGAATCATAGCGATCAATCCACTAGTCCATATAGTCATAGCAACAAAATGCTACATCACAATAGACATAACACCATAAGCAATAGTCATAGCAAGCAGTCAAGTGGTAGTCCACATAGTTATAGCAACCAAATGCTACCTCACGTCAGACAACACACTACTCTAGTTACCAGCAGCAGTAGTGTAACATGTCCATATTGCAATGGCAATCACAAGATATTCCAATGTAATCAGTTCAAGTCACTGAAGCCCACAGACCGGTATTCCAGTATCAAGGAGCTAGGTATGTGCATAAACTGCTTCTCAAAATCACACAAAATTAAAGACTGTCAAGCAGGAGCCTGCAAAGTGTGTAACAATAAACACAACACAATGTTACATTTTGACTCGGACACTGAAAATCATCACATCATCGACCAATCTACAGAAGAACAACCAAACAATCATAGTACATCTTTCATGACAACAACACTTGCATCTCACTGTGACAACCTTCAAGTAGTACTACCCACTGCATTGGTCGACGTAGAAGATAATGAAGGCAACAAGCACCAATGCAGAGTACTATTAGATTCAGCTTCACAATCTAACTTCATCACAGAAAACATGGCAGATAAGTTAAGATTGCACAAACACAAAACGTCTACCATCGTAAGTGGGATCAGTGAACAACAGGCAAACACTTCTAGCTCTGTCGTCTGCAAACTTCATTCTCAACACACAGCTTACAAGACTTCAATAGACTGCCTAGTAATTCCAAAAATCACCCATCACCTACCACGTATAGAGATGAACACGGACAACTGGCAGATACCACCATCATTAAACTTAGCAGACTTTCGATTCAACACACCTGGTCCGATCGACATGCTTATCGGGGCCGAACTATTTTTCCATCTCTTGAACATAGGACAAATGAGGCTGCACCAAAATGGACCACTTCTTCAGAAGACATCTCTTGGATGGGTCGCTTCTGGAAAAGTTAAAACAAATCACAGTCCAACTCTACGTTCACACTGTCACCTCACCGTCAGCAACTACGGAGATATGTCTACACCTCATTCTGTCAACGCTACCAACTTAGGGAGGTCAGTGGATCAGCAATGGAGATCACAAGCCTCCAACTTCCATTCTAATCAGCGGGCGATCATCAGAGATGACAACCGACACTTCACCAGTGGGAAACTGCGAGGTCCATTGACGTCCATCCCGGAGCCGACGGCAAGGTCAGGGTGGCCACAGTCAAGACAGCAACAGGGATCTTCAAAAGAGCCGTCAACAAACTCTGCGTCCTCCCCATTGAGCCCAGTGATCCTGTGTCATGTGTCAACCCAAATGGTCAATCAGAGTGAAAGTGAGTGATCAGTGTTGCACTTCATGTATATAGTGTAGTAATATTTCATGGTAGTCTAGTTGTAGTTGTTTAGTCGTCTTATTTATAATTATTTCAATTTCATTCGTTGCATATTTATTCATGTATTAACAACACAGCTTAAGTTAGGATTTAAATCACGTTATAATGTAAAATATCAATTTTTGCAATTATGTATTCATTGGTCAATATTGGATGATTTGGATATCAATCAATCGTGTTTAGGATTAGTTAAACAATGTAGTCATTTTTAATATTTGTGTAAATGTGTTCGCTCAAGTAATTTGTTCAACAAATTGTTGCATTTCTGTTATTAGTTTGTTTCATAATCAATGAATGTGTATAGTCATTTTAGTAATTCAATTTGAGCCTTTAGTACGAGTTTCATTTTTTGTTAATTGTAACTTCAAACTGCTTTAATTTCACTTGATGATCATTTTATAAATCGTATGTTTGTATAGCGTTTTACACATTATGTCATATTATTATAGCTTCATTAGTCTTAGTCTATAGTAATTGATTGATTAGTCTCCCCTTATAGTCAACATTCAAGGTTTTTATTTGCGTATCATCGCAATTGCCATTTTCATCGAATTGTTTGTAATTGCCCTTGTACTGTAATATATCAATTTTATTGCATTTAGGTTATAATCATTCAATATTTAAATAGTTGAAAGCATTCCCACTTTCAAGGGGGGAGAATGTTTAGTATCATGATTGTTAATTGTTTTATTTATGTTCTTAGTGTAAGTAATATTGTAAGCAAATAGTTAACCAATTCATATCACATGTGTTGTTAAATTCTAACGTACTTCCTGCTATTCATGTCACTTGTCGGCGTTAAACAGTCATAAACATCGTCCTTCTGCGAAAGGACGGACCCTTCCTCACCAGTTCTTAGAAATCTGTAACCACATACTGAGTGAGGGAGGAGTCTTTTGTCAGGGTGTTATCGAGCGACATTGTTCGTTTACCATAGCTTGGGATAGGACGTGTGAGGCAGATCCCTCCACGTATTTCATTAGTTTAGTTCATCAATAGTACATTCGCATTAGTTCATTATAGCAATTTATTCATCACAGTTCATTTATACAGTCCACTAATATCAGTTGTTCATTTCCATATCAATAAATTCATAGTTCGTTTTTAAAGTGTCAGTTCTTTTTTTGTTACCAAAACATTGGCGCATCACGCGCCGCAACAGTTAGTAAGAAATAAAAACATTTTCCAAATTTGATCAAAATATGTTCATAAACAAGCAAACTACAACAGTTTACTTATTCTCCATAAGAATAACATGGGAATTTTAAATTTACAATTTTTTTGAATTTTCTCTGTAACCGTTAGGCGCATAATAACGCTTCAATATACTAAATTATTTGTTTTTTTAAGCTCTACAAAATGGTTTGGAAATAAATTGCAAAATTTTAAGTTTTTTGGGTCAAAAATGGGAAAAACCTATTTTTACCCCATAAAACCCCCCGTAAACACCCGTTCCCATGGTCCGATCATGCTGGATCGCGAACTCGTTCGAATAAACGTAGGTTTACACGTTTGTACCAAATTTCATCAAAATCGGATCATTTTTGCTTGAGTTATCGTGCTGACGGACACATATATATATATATATATAAATATATAAATATATAAATATATAAATATATATATATATATGAATTTGAACGGATGGTGTTTTTGGCCTCTAGGGACCTCAAAACAAAAAAAAAAATTGGTCCCGCGTCCAGGTCTTACCATGAGTACTACGGTAATAGCTTATTCCCTATGTGGGAAATTCGCTAAAACTAAGTAAATTTAAATTTGACAGTAACTTACCCATCTGCTCTTTTGAATGAAAAAAGTGGTTGCTACTGGTTTATATAAATGGGATGTCTATCCTATATTCAAAAGTCAGTGGTGTATTTCTAGTAGTGGTTAGCAGTCTCTGACTTCGGTGCGAGAGACGACAGGTTCGAATCTGGACATATACAAAAACATTTGAGAGGCTTGGTCAGCTTTCTCTTAAGAGATGTAAGTGTTTTCTCTTACCACTGGCGTTCTTTATATAACGGCAAAGGAGTGTGGGTGGTTTATGGTAGTAATTTTTGTTGTTTTTTTGCAATGCGAAGATTGAATTTGTTGTTTTTTGCTACAACAGTTAGATGCATTTCCCGACACTTGGACGCTTACAAATACTGCAGAACCGTCGATAAGAACTTCCACTTTACAATCACGTCGTAAATCTTGGAACCCTTTCGTCTTTATCTTATCTACTATTTATATTTTTGGACGGGAAGTGCATGAATCTTTCGTCTCATTGACTAAGTCTTAAGTGTGACCGCGACATGTACTGACAAACGAGCGTTGTCGTCGATGCTCTCAGCGCGCCCGATGACAGCTGATATTTCCCGCCGCCGCGGGCTCTTTGCTCATCTGATGACAGCCGTTAAGTGGTCGTACAGTAATGCCAACCCATTCGTGTGACTGAAAATAATTATTAGATCTGTTGAGTATATGTTTTTAAGTAAATAAGTTCGACTGGCCCAAATTGAATGTTCATAAGGGTGAAAAGTGTGATATTGTAGATTGATTGGCTGTAATAAATGTGATTGATGAAAATATTAAAAAAAACTATAACCTAAGAATTGGTCACACAAAATCTTTAAAAGTCCTTTGGCTTAAAATAAGTTGCAAGTTTTCCTTGAGTCCACGCAGTACGCAGCGATTTGCCGCCAGATGAATTCAAATGCTGGGTTATAAATTATAAAAGGCAATCACTTATTAACTAATTTATGAGTTAACAATTTATTTCATACATTGAAAAGTTCATTTGTGCAATACACAGGTAGAGTAGGCTGCAGGTTTTGATTATTTTTACCCTGTTCATAACCATGGTTCATAACTTTAAGCTACCCCATTACGTAATATTTCACGAAATCGCTTTATTAAGACAGTCATGGATTTTGCATTTCCCTCAAACTTTACTTAAGATCAGTTTGTTGTTCCTTCGAGTAAAAAACACAAAATAACTAACCAAGGAATGCTGAATTCACACATTCAAACCGTCACAATTTTTTATAGAATCCAGCCGGTAGGCTACATGTTAACACTGATCCTAGCGGCATGAAGCTTTCTTGATCGAGTTAATGGGTAATATCACCAGGTCAGGCGCCGAAAGCTAATGGCTTATAAATAGTCGTCGTAACACGTGTTCCATTCCTGCTTTGAGGAAGAGCGACTAGCGAGGCGCCAGCCGTGAATAGAGCGGGAGCTTTGATATGTGATTGACAGAGAGCGGTATGTAGTTATATGGTGGTGACGTCATACTGCAGCATGTGTGGACTACGGATGAGTGATACAACTACTGCACGGGTGGTCTAAAAACTCTTATCTATTAGGATGAGTAGACAAAGAAAGCTGGTTGGGTTGCTATAACAAGCGCTTGTTGAAGGGGTAGTGGGTTTACAGTAAAAGCTTGGTTTACAGGAAACTCTAATTTTGGAGAATACTTTAATACTTTATTAATAAATGGCGACCATACCAAGTAGGTATTTTAAGCTAAGTATGAATGGAGATGAGTGTAGGATGAGTGGCGCGATCTTGTAGTCTTGTTAGTTGACTAAGGCCGACATGTTCCTTAGACACAGCTGTTAATTAATAGCCCATACAGCTAATGGCAACTAAGGGACCTACAGTTTATGGTGGAGTCTGAACCACATTTTTGCCTTGGTATATACAAATTGGTATAATTATCAGGATAGTACTGCGGATAGTCGTAGTACTCACTCGTGCGGACGTCAATCCACACCAGGGAGAATCGCATCCACAGTGCATGCCTATAAATATCCACAATTCGTGACCTCCTAGTAGCTGGATTACAGGACGACGCCACCCGTCCCAATCAAATGATGTCCTCAAAGAAGAACTAATTGTTTTAGCAAATTACCGTGGGTGGCACTGTATCTAGATAACAGGGTGTTTATGTAATTTTCAAATAAAAAAAAAATGGTTTTTTCAAATCAGAACCCTTATAACATAATAAATTACCAATTTTGATTACAACCATCATGACAACATTCATGATTCATGTCCATTTTATCATGAAATTTAATACAATATGGTTATTTTTTTATTTTAAATTTTATTGAACCCTATGTTAAGTAAGTTTCATGAAGATAGAAGTTTCATTTTTCTTTATGTTGTAGATCTAAAAGAAAGAAAGTTGTTTATTGTAAATGTATAGTTTTTTATTCACTTAATAAGTAACTGTGAAACAAATGCAATCTTTGAAATGTAAAAGGTTTTTTTATGTTATTCGTTTAACTAAGAATCAAATCCAATAAAATAGTGCAATTTGCCCATGGGCTCCTTTGTGTTGATTAAAAAGGGAATAAATCTGACAATTTTAAAGAAATATTTTAATAAAAATCAAATCAGACCAATGGAAATTTACTTAGTCTGTAAGTTTGCTGCAACGGGAGTATTTGCTTGATAATATTGATTTTAAAGTGAGCAAAACAAAAGTTGGTATACACAAAACTAACCGAGGAAGAGGTATGTTTTGTGAATAGAATTTGCTAAATCAATTTCCGCAGTTGAAATTGGGTTGAATGGAGTCTTTTCTTACATTGGAATGGAGGAAAGTACATTTAATTATGAAATGAAATTAAAAATGTCTTAATTTGAGAGGGGAAGTTAGGAATTGCAAGTCCTCTCTACCACTTAGCCTCTAAAAAATAAATAAATCCATATACTTATATAAATTAAATGAAATAATCTAAGTACAGTGGACTAGTTGGGACCAGGGGTGGTTCGGACTAGTGAATAGTTCGGATTACAGAACATATTGTTGTTTTTACATAACAATAGCTAAAACATGGCTAAAATTGATTAAAATTATTTGGGGAAAAGTGAATAAAATGTTTTATAAATTAAAATACAGTGTTTATTTAATACAGTAGTAAACATGGCAAATAAACAGTACTGTACATAAAAAAAAAATACAGTATACAATAAAGAATTGCTGTACTGTGTAGAGTACAGCAATGAGGGGTTCGGATTAGTGGACGTTCGGATTACGGGGATTCGGACTAAAGAGGTTCTACTGTACCATAATATTATGTATTAAATGTACTTATAATATAAACTACTTTAGACAGATATTGGTGAAATTGGCATAAAAAAACCTCCATTCTGTAGAACTGCTATTTATTTTAGGCAAGTCTCTGTTAACAAAGTAATTTATTTTTACCTAGGGTTTTACAATACAAAACGTTTAATGAAAATGAACGTAAATTCATCATAAAGTTGTATGTTAGAATTATGTGAATTGCAATCGAACGTATTAATAGAAATTAAACTTGTTAATGAAATAAAGGTATTTAATGAAACTATGTATTTTTTGTATTTAAAAAACTTAAAATTACTAGGATTATTTCATTTATGACTTGATTAGTTTATCACTTCTGCAATTTCTGATACTGTATAAGGCTTTTTAAATTATAGAAGAATAGGGGTTAAAAATTGAGAACAAACAATTATCAAAGTACAAAAATTTATTTCACAGTAAACATGAAATTTGTAATCTTACACCTAAAAAATATATAAAAAATCACAGCATCACGAATCTTACAGAACTGATGTGAGTAATTAAAGGAACTAGAGACATTGTTGGAGATACTTTTCGTCTTCTGCCAGCTGTTCTAGGTAGATAAAAAAAGTAGGGCAGGCTGACACACTTGCCATGCAGTCTCCCAATGTTTACCTCATGCAAAAGTATCATTTATCTGGTGGTGAATAGCTATAACAACCTTTACGTAAACTTGAAGATAATTAAATCCTCTTACTCCTTAGGGAGTAAAAAGCATTTTAGCCCCTAGGGAGTAAAATTCAGCTGTTGTAAGCTGTAAGTAATCACATTTATCGCAAGTATGTATAGCTCGTTAAAATCGGTTGTATATTATTTTTCCAGTTTGACATTTGGATAATATATTGTACAATAACACAATCGTAATAGTCAAAATGATTGAATCACTTACTAAACAGCTGCATGTATGCATCCACTAAATTGAAAACTAGTTAAAAGTTGTTTTGAGAGGTTCCTTTTTGATGTAAAGTTTTATCATTTTCTAATTTAGTTTGCTTAAATAATGGTGCAATATGACGAAAAATATCGATCATCAAAATCGCAAAAAACATCTTTTAAATCCTCGATCGTAATACTTGAACTTGGGTCGAAAAGGGTCACTTTACACCCTAGTGATGAAATAAACTAAAATAATAAAAAGAGTGATTCCTAAACATCAATGGAGGTTTTAATACCAAAATAACAAAGTATATATAATAGACATTATAAGAAAAAAATAAAAAAAAACTTTCCAGCACTGTTAGAATTTTTTTTACATAGAAGTAAACTATCACATACTTTACATATCGAGAAACTTGCTCTTGTTTAACATTTCTATTCCTTTACAAGAGCAAATGCAGTCAAATACAGTAAAAACCCATTGTAGTAACTCAATAATTTAACAAAAACTCTTGGTCTTTAAAAATTAACAATATTTTGTTCACCAGTAAAAAGATTTTTGGAGAAATTCAACGGTAGAGTTAAGCCAACTGGCTGTTTTGTCTTTGATAAGGAACACGCTAGAGACCGCTTTATCTTTCACGGGAGAATCATCTTCTTTCAGGTACGGCGGGAGTGAAGACAAAGAGTCATCATTGTCTGTCTCCAGAAGTGGAACTAGATACTGGAAATACAAAACAGCGAGTAATTTGTAAATATGGGTTTCTTGAGAGAACATTCTCTTGATAGAAAGTTTGTTAATAAACAAATCAAACAAAAAAAGATGTCATGCAAGTTAAAATATGTACGTTATGCATGCAGAAAATATTAATATGTTTATTGTGCGGAGACATATCTCACAGACGGACTATGAAATAAACCCTTAATATGGTTTGTATTCTAATCTTATCTTAAACAATAATAATTTGAGGACAGAGGTTTTAAAGCATGAGGTTTAATGGTACATAAGTTAAATGATTAATATAGGGTTACAAAAAATTGTTCAGGGGTGGGGATTCGTGCTGGCCGAATCAAAAGATTTCCAATTTAAATTTTCAATGAGTATGGTAAATTATAAATTTAATAATCTTTCAAAAACAATAAATTAAATAGGAAGGATTTTGATTTTAATTAATGGAGGTAAATAGGGTCCAAATGGATGCTTGAGGAGTCTATAAGTTAGTCTGAGTTAATAAATGGAATGTTCTCACCAATCTTCTGTAATAATAATTTTCTTCTTAGTTTAAAGGCTTAAATTCTTCTTTCTTCGGTTAACTTAATTTGGATATTTTGCCAATACTTTACTTTATATTTTCATAATTTATTTCACAACTAATATAGTTTCTATGTGCTCTTCTTGAATAGCTAAACTGCACTCTCCTTTTCATTGTTGTAAATCATTTTAAGTTATGGGGTTCACATAAATAAAAATATGGTTGAATTTTATTAATAATCTTGAACCCAGATGGATGGTGTTCTGATTGGAGGATTTGTTTTTGAATAATAATTTTGGATAAGCCAATGAATAAATTTTGATAGTAAATTATATATATGTTGAGACAATATGGTTTTAATAATATTAACAATGGACATGGATAAATATTGAAAATATAACAAGATTGAGTTTGAAATTAAAATAAGGACTATAATTATAAACATTGAATTTTGAGTCATTACAATATCCCCTCAGAAAATATGTAATTAAATTTTTAATGACATATTTTTGCTAAATGACGAAAAATATATTTAACTTTATACAACAAATAACAAATATTGAGATGAAATTGAGTTGAAACAAAAATCTAACAAACTTAACATTAAGGTTTAACTAGAACAAATTTCAGTTCAAATGAACAAAACAATAAAATAATTCTTAAATAACAAAATGATTACTATCCCCTCCTATCTTCTACAAACATTAAAAACATAACATTAATTTAAGTGGTTAAAACAATTTTTTTTTTTTTTACATAATAAATGAATGGAGTGATGAACAAATGTTGAAATATGAAATGAACATGAGACATATAAGAGATGTATGATTCTTATAGGTACCATGGAGTACATTAAATGAATAGTTGTTTGTGATTGCTTGATGATAACCTCTTATAACTAAATACATTAAATTTGTGATTATGACTATAGTTTAACTATTGGGACAGAGGTAACTGGAGAAATTGGCTTGTTCACTCACTGCTTGTGTGGGTATGATTTAAAATTCTTCCCTTTTACAGCAATGTTTATAGGGTTAAGCACACATTACAGTTTATCTTCTATCTTCGGTTGTGGTGTGTAGATCGGTTCCATGTATTTCTTCATGGAGGATATATGATAGGGTCCATATAATTTATCATTGTAGAGATCACTTATGTGGTATGTTGATGGTCCAAGTATTTCTCTGATGACAAAAGGGCCTTGGTACACTTCAAACAATTTGGCTGTCTCACCATAAATAGCTCTGGATAAGGGATGAGATTTTATGAGTACTTTGTCATTGATGTTTAGAGACTGTGGTTGTCTATTTTTGTTTAATCGGTTGGAACGTTTTCTTCGGGTTTCACTTAGTTTTCTTTCTGCCATCAATAATTTTTGTTCATAAGGCATGTCATTGTTGATTGGGTGATGTAGGTATTCTTCCCAAAATCTAATGTCCTTAATACCATACTGCAACTCATTGGGAGTAAATCCAGTGGATTCATGGTGAATTTCATTTAAACATTGGTTTATCTCTGGTATATATTTTACCCATTTTTGTTGTTGTTTAGAACAGTATGTCCTTAGACATCTTTTGATTTCTCTTATTGGTCTTTCTGCTAAATTGAAACAGGGGTAATAGACAGGGTTGTATATAGGTGTGATGTTCTCTTTCTCTAATCTTGAGGTCCATTCATGACTTTTGAATTGTGTGCCATTATCAGTTTGTATACAGCGGGGCTTTCCATGTTCAGGAATATGTATATTAAATAGTTTGTTGAGTATGATTTTAGTAGTGGCTCTCTGCATTGGGTAAAGTTTAATGAATTTTGTGAATATATCAATGATTATGAGTAGGTATTTTACATTTCCAACACTTGTAGGAAAAGGGCCGATGATATCGATAGCAAGTTGATCATTCTTACTGCGACATGTGATCCCTTTGGCGATCGCAGTCATGTGTTTGTTGCTGATTTTACATCTTTGACAAGTATCGCATGTTGATAAATACTTCCGAATGGTTCTGTTCATATTCTTGAAAGCAAAAGTTTCCTGTAGTAGCTGAAGACATTTTTTGGCTCCGCAATGTAGGTAATGTAAATGACATTCCCATATAAGGTGTGGTATCATGATTGTAGGTACTCTGATTAACCATTTATTGCCCAAGCGTTGATAAAGGATGTCATTATGAATTTTAAAATTTCTCTGTAGCTTTTGTGCTGTTGTGGTATCTGGATTATCATGAATTGTTTCAATGATTGTCTGTAATTGGAGATCTTCTTGCTGTAACTGGGGTAGATTTTGAAGGTCTTCACGAAGTTGTGGGTCCGTAGTTCTTTCTATGTAGTGGATAGTTAATTCATTTGTTATATCACATGAATCAGTTTGTTGGTTTGGTGGAATCCGGCTAAGAGTATCGGCCGTTATATTTTCCGTGCCCTTGCAGTGGATTATTGTGAAATTATATTCTTGGATAGCTAGAATCCATCTAGCAAGGCGGTTGTTGAGGAGTTTACAAGTTTTTAAGAAAGTAAGGGCATGATTATCAGTTATGACTTTCAAATTGGTACCTAATATAATGTATCGAGATTTCTGTAGACAATGAATTATAGCCAATAATTCTTTTTCTGTGGTAGTAAACCGTTGCTCTGCAGGCTGTAGCGTTCTGGACATAAACATGATGGCAGCTTTATCTCCGTTCTCTTTGATTTGATACAGGTGACCTCCGATGGCGATGTCTGAGGCATCAGTCTGTAAGTAGAATTCTTTGGCTGGGTCAGGATGATTTAATACACTGGTTTGCAGGAAAAGTTGTTTGATTTCATTAAAGGTAATGTCATCTGCAGGTGTCCAGATAAACTTATTCTTTTTGGAAGTTAGTCGCAATAAAGGTAGAATTGTAGAGGAGAATTTATCGAGAAATTTATTGTAATAATTAATACAACCAAGGAATGATTTAAGTTGTGTTCTGTTCTTTGGTATAGGGAATTTTAAGATGGGGTCTACCTTGCTTTGATCCATTACAAGTCCTTCTTTTGTCAGTGTATACCCGAGGAATGGTACTGATTCTCTGCAAAACTGAGATTTGTTGAAGTTAATGGTCATGTTAGCTGATTGTAACTTCTCAAAAATGTATTCTAAATGTATAAGGTGTGTTTCAAAATCTGATGAAATGATACATATATCATCTATGTAGATTGCAGTGAAGTCTTCTACGGCTGCATCGAAAACTTGGTCTAATGCCCTTACTAAGGCTGCTTGTGATGTTGAAATTCCAAATGGTGTAACAGTATACTGGTATGTTTTACCACGGAATTGGAAAGCGTTATACTGACGAGATTCAAGCGATAAAGGTATCTGCCAGTAAGATGCAGTAAGGTCAATACTACTGATAAATTTAGCATTACGGCATTTACTTAATATTTCATTTACACTGCGGTTACACTCGTAATCCGGTACGATTATGTTGTTTGCTTTACGTGCGTCCAGACACAATCTTATTTCCCCTGTTTTCTTTATAACTGGGATGATTGGGTTAATGAAGGTACTCTTACTTCGTTCTATTACTTTAATTTGCTCCATCCGATTTATTTCCTGTTCTACGGCAGTTTGATACTGTTGAGGTACTGGATAAACAGTTGATTTAAAATTATGTGGATTATTAACTTTCAATTCATGAGTATATTTTGTACAACAACCTGGTTTTTCTGAAAACACTTGTTTATATTTAAGTAATAAATTGCTTAATTTTCTCTTTTGTTCCCCATTGGTATAGTCATTCTCCATCAATGACTTATTAATCATTTCATCTGTCAGATCGGTGTCCTCGTTGTGTTCTTTCCTGGGTAAGCGATATTCTTCATACACTGTAAAATGGTCTTCTTCATTGTTATAATAGTCATCATAAGGCCTTTGGCAATTGCCTATATCTATTTGACATACTTGTCCCATTTTAATACTCATATCACATTTTAGATTAATATCAGTATCATTAATTGTTAAGCTTAATTTATTTTCATTAGAATCTATCTTTAGTCGGAGTTCTGTTAATGTGTCCATACCAAATATCACAGGTTTAATTAAATTAGGTATGATAAGAAATTGAAGCCAGATGGTCTGATGTTCAATGGTTACAGGGGCATAAATGATTCTTGCAACACGTTTTGATTTTTCACCAGTAGCTGTAGTTATTGTCGTATTAGACAAAGGAAGTTCTTCAAATGGTTGAATTATTTTTTGATTCTCTTTGAAACATTGTTCGGAAATACATGTTATTGTAGAACCAGTATCGATTAATGCTTTTGTTGGGAGATTATTGATTCTAATATCTATTTCAGGGCATTTAACTGGTTTGGATACAGGAAATTTATTATTTTCAGTGGGTTCATTTAATAGGAAATCTTGATCACATATTATATTATTTATCGAATAATTGTTAGGGTTATTTAAAGAATTATTTTCGAGGATATTTGCTGTTGATATCGCTGTAGT